TTGACACAGCGGCGGGCAGCGGATCGCCCGGAGGACGTGCGCCAAGGTTGGAGTCTCGAGTCGCCTTGCTGGTGACTTGGAGCAGATCACCCAACCTCTCTGGGCTTCAGTCGCATCGAGAAATCGGGGGTACAAAGCACCTGCCTCCCAGAGTTATTGGGAAGACTGGATGAGCGAATGTGTGGAAAGTGCTTTTAAAACCTGTAAGTGCTGTACAAATATAAAGTATTCTTCCACGAGATGCCATGTGAAGGGCGGGATAAATTCAAGTGCATTCACTTCTTTAATCCTCAGCACACAGCGCCCCTATGAGCAGGTATTATCCCCGTTAGCCTGTTGTATGGATTTGGGCGATGATTTGATTAATCGCTCTCTCCCCAGGGACATACCTGCTTTTTCTCACTTTGCATCTAGCCAGTAGTTGTTCCTATACCTGGTACCTTGGAGGTACTTGCTAAATATTTGCTAAGTCATCCTCTGTTATACAGAGGAAGCAGCCTCCGAGAGGCCCAGGAACTAGCCCAGTGCCCAGCAGCTTTTAGGTGGCAAAAGGGAGAGTTGAACCCAGATCCACCTGACTAAAGCAAGTCTTTCCACCTGCTGTCAGATTCTCCATCTGCTGGCTGGCTGGGCTGGGGTGGAGCCTGGAGCTGGACCATGGCAGTTCTGCTGGTCTCCACCTCCAGCGCTCCTGGGGACATGCCCTGTGTTACCGCCCACACTCACCTTCCCCTTCTCCCAGGCCTGCTTAGGGGTGTGCAGCTGCCACATGTTCTCCCCGAAAACAACTCCCCACACTCCCCTCCCCCCAGTCCTGTGCATAGTCCTCCCTAGAAAGAAGAGAGAGAGGACCTCTTTGGAACTGGTCTTGGACTGGTTGTATGGGTAGCTGACCACCACCAGCCAAGACACCTCTCCATCTCTCCTCTCCTGTCTCTTATTGCTTTGGGGCTTCGGTGCCTATTTCCAGGAGAGGAAATAGGAAGAAGTCTGGGTTGGGAGCTGAGGGTCTCAGCTACTAACCCCCTGCATGAACATTGGGGCAACACCTAATGGTGGTCAGGACATTGGCTCTGGGAGGACAATCGTATCTCATCTTTCTAGAGTGGGATAAACTTACATCACTGTTAAAAATGATAGAAGTGCCAGAAGTATGGGAAGCAAGCTAGGAAAACTGAAATGGAAGTTATTGCTCTCTTCTTGTGCAACAGTATAAAAATTGCAACATTTCTGTCAAGATAGAAAAACTGTGAGCACTTTCATGCCATTTCTGGCCAGGGCGTGTTCAGTCTGCCAGCTCACGTGCTCACTACCATATGAAAGTAACTCATGTCCCCAAGATGATTTGGTCCTGGTAAATAAATCTTTGTCGGGGAGCCTCCCTCCCCTCTCTGGGCCTCAGTATCCCCATGTGTGGAAGTATGGGATTGGACGGGATCCTCAGTCCCCTGGGGAGCTGGTGTCAGAGTTAGTTCCCAATATAGAAGCCCTGATACCCTCTTCTCATCTCCCCACTCCTTCTTCTGTTGAGAATCCCTGTCTCTGATGAACTCCACTCTTCCACCTTCAAGTATTCTTGTCTCAGCTCCTAGTTCCTTCCTCCAGATCTGAGGTCTTGCCTGTGCTCTGTCCCAAAGCCCTCCCTAGCCTTCCCACGGTCCTCAGCCTAAATAA